AAAAAGATTCAGATGAACAAAAAGTAGAATAATTAAAAATAAAACTAATGAAATTTACTCAAGACCATCCAGGAGTTATGGAATTCAAATACACACATAACAAAAAAATACAATTTTATGCAGTAAATCTAAATAAGAGACTGAAAGGCCGACCTATAAACCTAGCTTCTTTAAACTTAATCATTATTTACCCTGAAGAAAGAAAATTAAGTCAAGCAAAACTTAACGATATCAGATCACTTTTGGAATTCGTACCACCATGCCATCACCAAGTTTACAATTGGTTAATCAACCAAGTGAAGTATTGGAAGATGACATTGAAGAAGAGAATGACAATAACAATGAAGAGGATAATGAGATGAACAATGCGATCTAAATATTGCTAGTATTATTTTTTTACACATTTGTGCAATTTAATAACTCTTTATTCTTATATTTTATTCTTATGTATTTTTATTTTAATTTTAATGATGTGTTAATAAATATCATTACAAACAAAAAACAAACAATTTATTTATAGTTCTCATGCTAGACAAAACTAAATGCTAAAAAGTATGCCAAAGTGAACCATGTACTGCAAGCATTGATAAAAGAGCCTTAAAAATAGACAAAATCATGTGCTGTTACTAAGAAATTTAAAGAAATGTTCTTTTGAATAGGTCTTAATCCTTTTATACTCGCACTTTATAAGAGATTATAATATATTGTGTATATTTTATCTCTCTAACTTTAAACTGTCGTACTGAAAACTTTCAATTTCGGCTTTTGGTTCACTCTGGCATGAGACCATCTAATTATACTGATCTGGCTGTTATTAAGAAGCAAGGGTTAAGACGTCCTTTATAGGATAATTCTACTGCCTTATCCATGTTTAAAGAGAGTAAATTAGAGTCGGACCAGGTTTATATTTTAAGTAGATCAGAAGTTATACTTGCATGTAGCATTGCAATATTAGAGTTCTTTTAGGTAATACTGGTATCATCAGCAAAAAGAAAAATTTTTTCATCGATTTTTAAGTTGGTGATGTCATTTATAAAAATAAAGAAAAGTAGAGGACCCAGTACTGAACCTTGTGATACTCCACATACAATGCTTTTGTCACTAAAGTCAGTATCATTTGCTCGAACTAGGTGTTTTCTATTCCTCAAGTAAGATTTGAACCAATTCAAAGAAATACCTCGAATTCCGTAGAAATTAGTTTTTTTTTTATCAAAATGTCATGATTTACACAATCAAAAGCTTTGGTATAGTCACACAGTTGCACTATAAAGATTATAGTTTAGTGCTTGATAGACCTCATGTAGTACAGAAAACATAGCATGGCTGGTACATTTATTAGATAAAAAGCTGAACTGACTTTGTGATCAAATGTTGTTTTCATCTAGAAAGTACATAAGTCGGGCTTTTATAAGTCTCTCAATAATTTTGAATAGGACAGGTAGTAAGGCAATAGGTCTATAGTTGCAGATATTATATTTATCACCACCCTTATGAAGATGAACAATAATGGCTGACTTTGGGCACTCTGGAAATATACCTTTTTCAAAGGAATCGGCAATTAGTGAGACCAGGAATTCCAACACATTATTTGTGAGATTTAAGAAAATTTTTATGGATGGTCCATCATTACTTAGAAGATTTGCTTTTGATACTATTAATTATCTGGATCAGTTTAGATTTATCGACTGGTCTTATAAAGAATGAATTCGAGCTCATTTTTGAATGGGGAAGATAGGACATAGGATCTTGCTGTGGCAAAATAGCTGATATTATATTTTTACTCACATTAACGAAGTATTCATTTAGATTTTCAGGGTTCGGAAGAGAAAATATTTGAATTATATTAGTTTTATTTCAAAGATCGTTTATGATGGATCAAGTTTCCCTTGCAACACTTTTAAAGCTTCCTAGATGATTCTCATAGAACACTTTTTTGGCTGTTTTGGTAAGTTTTAGATAACTTCCTCTGTACTTGGAGATATATTCAGTGACAAAGACATTAGTAGCAAATTTCTTGATGTACAGTAGTGAACGCATATTCTTGACTGATATGCGGATACCCTTGATAGTCCTGGGTTTGTGATGTTTTAAGTTAATTTTAATTAAAGGAAATGCCTTATTGAAAATACAGACAAGCTTATCTAAACAATTACTAAAATAATAGTTTACGTTCACAGAGGGTAAATGCCATCTAGAAGTGAAGCACAAATTTTGAAATTTACGAAAGTTGAAGAATGTTAAAGCATGCAAGACTCATATAATTTAAAATGATATACTATTAAATATGTACACGTGTACACATATAGTATAGGGATAATTGTTATATATTTTGTACCAGACAGCACCCTAATATTGGTTATTTATAATTTAAATATTTAATTTGTCCTATCGGAGACCTGAAGATGCATAATTGATTGTGAGCAAGTCTTTTTATTTACTTTACCTTTCTCTTTACCTAAATTTACCTTTCTATTGCAATTGTTTGTGAACTTTGTTATTTTCTAAGTTTTAAATATTATGATGATTTATACATAAAAGGGATGCGATAAAGAGAAAAAGTAATATTCTCTATTATGTACACTAATATTGTAGCTGGTTAAGTTTTATAAAATGACATTTTTTCCTGAAATTTAGCTACATGAAACTAAGAAAAAATAAAAGATTCTTTCACATTCCGTCTCTGCTCGAGAATAAATTGAATATTCATTAAAGAGTTTAGTGTCTATATCCGATCACCATAAAACTGTCTGGGTATCTTATTCAATTCCGGTTTCGGGACCTAAAACATTGCATAGTCTGCTAAAATCGCTCGTATATATCGGTTATATATCGCGAACCAATCTTGATCCCGGCTTTTGGCTTACCAGAAATCGCGCCAAGAATGGATTTCGCCGCCGGAACGAAACTACACCCCAAGCTTCTGTATGTGTCCTATATACGACACTTTTAATGCTCCAACATTTTATACTCTTCCAGATTGTATCGCGAAAATGGGAAGATAAGTGTCATTTGGAATATAACAGTAATATTTTGACGAAGTTCGCTACGGTTCAAATTTCATCTATTGAAAAGATGTAACAGATGTAAAAGGACATGAGAATAAAATGAAATGAAAAAAACAGTAAATATTTGATTTCACGCAAACAGCGTCTATGTATCTATTGATACGTATTTCGACCTAATAGGTCTCATCAGAACAGTTATTCATAGGCTTTCTGAACGTGAAAAATCAATATTTTCTGTCTTTTAAGAAGCAACACTAAAATGGCTTCGATATGGACGCAATAGCCACATCTGATAATAAATCCGTAAAATAGTTTTGAAACTATTTTACGGACATGAGAATAATTTAAGTTATAAACAAAAAAACAAGAATTAACTGAACAAACTTAAAACTTACTGTCACCTACGCTAACGTGACTTTTATTAAGTCAAGCTTATAGAGTTATAGAACTGCTACCTTTTCTAAACAGGAAAATGAAAGTCAACTAAATAAACAACGTAATTTAGAATTCAAATGCTGATACAACTATAATAACATTTTATCTAGTCCAATATTGTTCTTTTGGTATGCTTCTTGCTATACCAACGAAAGATTCTGGGCATCTGAATGTTTCATTTGATCCTCCCATGGAAAATAGGTTTGCTTTTTCATTCCCTTTAACACCAGTGTTCAGCTAGAAGACAGTTACGAAGACAGTTCTAACTTAACTTCGAGTCAATTTGATTTGATTCCAGTACCTTTAATGCCACCTGTTTATTCGGTATAATTTGTATAGATCCGTTCTTGCAGCTTTTCTTTATTAGTTATTGTGGGCACATTTTTACAGCATAAATTTCTGCTTGGAACATAGTGGAGTCATTACCTACACTTTCACTAAGTTTTAGCCTTCGTTTCTCTGCATATAGAGCAGCTCCAACACCAGCATTGATTTGCCATTGTGAGATTCGTATTCGAAAAATTGTGGTAAACGACTTTGCGAAATTTTACTTACGTTGTATTATATCTGGTACCACTTTCAACTCTGGATGATTTTTTATTATCTCTCCATATTTGTTCGCGGTGTCCTTTCGCCTTGTTTTTCTGGTGTCTTATTCGTTATCTGTCTATATCATATCTATCTTTTTATACAATTTTTCTTTTATTTTACGTTCCGTATATCTAGATTTTTAATTCTGCACCTATTTGAATTCTTATTTTCATATATTTTTTTTTCATTTGTTCTATTTGCTTCAATCTATGATGTTTTGCTTATCTATATCTGCCAACATGTTTTATTTTGTCTACTGTTATCTACTACCTTTAGATAACTTATTATCTTTTGATTGAGAAAAAAAGAGCAGAGTTCAACAAGCCAGTAATGCTTTTTTGAGGTTTCGTAAGTTTCTGTGATATGTGTGGCCTGTTCTCCTGTACGGAATGGAAGCATGGACGTCAAAGGCCAGTTCCATTAACAAACTTGAAGTATTTGAAATCTGGTACCTGCGTCGAATGCTTAGAATATCATGGACGGACAGGGTCAGAAATAAGGAAGTACTCAGAAGAGCGGGCTTATAGGATAGGGAACTTTTAAGTTATGTAAAAAGTAAGAAGACTGCATACTTGGGGCACATATTACGAGGAGAAAGATACACTTTTCAGCAACTGATACTCGAAGGGAAGATAGAGGATAGGAGAGGTCTGTGGCGTAAAAAAAATGTCATGGCTGGGCAATATTCGACAATGGACATGAATCCACAGCTATGAAATGCTTCGCAATGCTGCTAAAAACAGAATTATTTAATCCTGAATATTTAACATCTTACATGACAAGACGATGTACGGTGGACGCCTACGCAGAAATGCACGGCACCCTAAGAAGAAGAAGAAGAGAAAAAAAGAAATATTTTGCATATTATAACAAAAATAAAGACAGAGCATCGAAAAATATGTTTGTTATATATTAAAAGAATGTATAGGACTTAAACACTTCCATCAAATAAAATATGTTTTTTTTGTTAAGATTTATTGTACATTTATATAAAAATATCACTTTATGATGGAACCTTAACAAATAAATAATTATTTAAAGTGAAAATGTTAAAAATATTTAAATGATTTTAAAATAGAGGTTTTAATGTTTTCTACCGGAGTAGCTGCTAGTATATGTCTTGACGTTGGAATGACTAACAAGCTGTCCGTGATTGCAACATCCTGCAATTGAACCTCTTAAGTCACTTTCCAAATGGACGAGTTCTTCATGTACTTCATCGACTCTAATATCAAGGGTATGTACATCACCTTCTAGATCTTTTTGTACGTGAACAAGTTTGTGCAATAATTGATCAATCTTTAGTTCTAAGTCATCAATTCTATGCTCATGAGCATCCAAACTGACGTGAGTGCTGGCGAGGACTGTTCTTAAATGACTGATTTCAGTTTCTTGTCTTTCAATAATCATATTGACATCAGTTTCTTCTATCGAGGAGTGTGAGTGGGAGTTGTGAGTGTGTTGTGTGTGGATGTGGCTGTGATCAGGTATTGAAGAATGAACAACAGTCTTCGTAGTTTTAATATAACCATTTCCACCGTACTGTTGACTTTGTTGTTCCCAATCATCAGATGTTTGTTGTGAGACAATCTTTTGACCATTGTTCCATTCATTGTCATAATCGTAGTCTTGGCTAGTTTGAGATTGTTGACTGTAGTAATTTGTCTTTGATCCTCCTTTAGTACCACCTTTAGTACCACCTTTAGTACCTCCTTGAGTAACGGCAGCTTTTTCAGTTGATTTCTTTAATTCGAGAATCAAATCCTCTTGTTTTTTAACGATATCGTACAATTCAGTTACCTTTGTCTTTAATTCATCAATAAGCTCGCGGTTTTGCTTGCCTGTAGCTTCACATCCAGAACTCTTTTCTAATATGAGGCTTTCAAGTTTTGAAATAGAATCCTTGTGTCCTCCAATTTGTTTCCTTAAATCGTCAATAACACCGTTGATCCTAACATCTTCAACCTGTATTTTATCAATTAATTGTCTGTCTTCTCCCAAAGTGCTATTAATATGCTCAATGGAAGATCTACATTCCTCATAAACTTCATCTAACCTTGTTTTTGCAGCTTCTTTACTGGCTTGAAGATCTTTGTCTGTAAGATCACGTTTTACAGATACTTGTTCTACAACTTCTTTCAAATCAGAAAGGTTCTTTTCGCATTGAGCTGATTTTTTATTAATCACTTCTGAAATTTCTGTTTTAACTGAGTCAATGCGATTTAAAGAATCTTGGAGGCCTTTAATTTGTTTTTCTAAGTTCTCAAAATCTTGTTCGCCCTTTTCAACACTGTCTCCCAATTTAACAGCAAGAGTTTCCAAAGTTTCAAGTCGAATGTCTCGTGGCCTAAAGGCTTCCTGTATCAACTGTTTGGATTTTTCAATAGCTGGAGTAAAGTCAATTTCCTTTTCACTCAATACTTTCAAATCGCTTTTAACTTGATTAATAAGTTTTTCATAGTCTCCAAAAGTTTTCAAAATACTTTCATATTTAGAGTCAAATTCTTTAAAAACTTTTTCTACCGATTCTTTAAAGTGTTCACCATTTTCTTTAATTATTTTAACTTCACTAAACAAATTGTTGATTTGTTCTTCATACTTGTTTAACCTGTCTAAAATTGGTTGGTTTTTAGCCTCCAAATCGGCAAGCTTCTTCAAAATTCTTTCCTCTAAGAGAGTTGAGTTACTGTATGATTCATATCTGTATTGGCTTAGTTCCAGTTCAATCTTTTCTCTAAGCCTGTCAATTTTGGATTCAAGTTGATCAAGTTTGAAAGTTTTTAGTTTCTCAAGGACAAGTCCTTCAAGTTCTTCTTTTGCTTTTGGTCCTCCTTTTACACCAGACCCGCCGCCGGCACCTTCCATAATAAGCATGGTTACATTCATGGCTAAATCTCTGAGTTTTCCGTGAAAATCTTGTTCTATTTGAGCAATTTTTTCGTACACCTCTGTTTTTGTGATAAATTCAGGAAGTTGTTTGTTTATAATTTGTTGAATTTTTTCTACTTTCTCATAGATGGATACAATTTCTTTACTTTGATCGTTGATCAAAAGTGTGTTCTTTGCAATAGATGCATAAAGTTCTTTAATGATTTCTTCATAGTGTTCGTTTGTCTTTAATAATAAAGCGATTTGTTTAGCTAAATTATCTACATCAATTCTTATTCCTTTTAGGTCACCAGCAGCTAGAAGAGTTTCTTGGATTTGAGTAACCTCTACACGAGTCTTTTCTAAATGTTCTTTCAGAATAATAAGTTGTTCTTTTAATTCTTTTGTAATGTTTACTGTACTTTCTTTATAGATTAATTCGATAACTTCCTGTTTTGTGTCCATAATGAGGTTGTAGTAACGTTCCAAAATAAGATGTAAGTTGTGGGGGTTTTGTAAGTAGTCTGAGTCGACAGCTTCGATCAATTCTTCAAATGAAAGTGACTTAATGTCACAATGTTTTAAAACGTTTTCACTTACAATTTTTTTGGATCTGACAGTAAAGTAATCGTGATTTACTCCAGCTGGTGCCTTAATGGCTCCTCCTTTAACTCCTCCCTTGGTTCCTCCTTTGGTTCTCAAAGCCAATCCTTTGGGATCAATGTCTTTGGATTTAAGTGGTTTAACAGAAACAATGTAACCTTCCTCGGTGTACCAAACGTCTGTGTTTTGACACTGGGATTTGCTCTCTAAACTCAAGTAAAATGCTTTGTCTTCAAGCGGATCGTAGTGAAACAAATAGTTAAGACGTTGTTCCTTGAATTCCCAGAAATCAACATCTCCTTGGAATACCTTGTAAAGTTGATTAGGACATTGAACTTTGGACTTATCGAGAATTTCCCAAACGACAGCATAAGTATTAGTTTCAGTTGGATCATAACAGAAACCTCTATCATACCTGCAAACCTTGCCGGTTCTGAGAACAATTTCATTCTTTACTAAATCAGCCTTAGAAACGTATTCTTCCAATACAATCGGAGAACCTTTGTCAGCAAGCACGTTCTTATCCTGCCATTTATCGATGAAGGTTCCAGATTGGAAAGCTTTTACACAGTTATCTGAAATGTCGGAATAGGCATCCTTGGTGTCGTTGAAAAGGCATCTGCTGACTCTGACTGGAACTTTTCCTATTGAACTGTAGATGTAGACATTGGCACGGTTGAGGTTGGGTCTAGCACAGTTTGCGGCTTCTAGGGTGCCATAAATGGCTATGGAAACTAAGACAAAGAGTAGTTGCTTCATTCTGAAATGAAAAAAGTTAATGAGTTAACTGATGAAGATAAATATAATATGTATATTAATAGGTGAATAGCTTATTGTTGAGAATAGTTTATACCTTATTGAATTTATTTATAGTTCAATAAAATGTTACATTTTTTTTGCCTTAGCATTCATTCCTTAGAGGACGCAATTTTATTTTTGTTTATGTGTTAGGACATCATCTTTTCATTGATTTGGAGAGTATCTATGAAAGCATTCATCGAAAATGTTTGATCATGCACTGAAAGAGTTTAATATTTCAACTCAACTTATTAATATAGTAAAAGAGACACTTAAAGTACAAAGCAAAAGTCTAATTCAAAACGCACTAACATTGAGAATCCATGTGAGAACGGGCCTACGATAGGGAGATGCCTTATCCTATATTATATTCAACATCAGAGTCATAGTTCAACAACAGAGGGACAAAACAGTGGCCTAAACATTATTGAAATAAAAACCAAATACATGAAGGCCAGCAAATTGACAGGCCAAAGAAATCTGCAGAATCTAACAATAGGAGACTATAACATCGAAAGCGTGAAAAATTTTACATATCTAGGTTCACCAGTTACCGCAGATAACAATGTCAGTAAAGAAGTTAAAAGAAGAATACATATCGCTAATAAAACATATAATGGACTAATTGAACTTCTAAGATCTAACATCACAAGAAAAACCAAAGCAAAATATACAAAACCCTGATAAAACCGATCCTTGTATATGGATCAAAGACATGGATAATGTCGAAAAGCGATGAGAACCTATAAGGTACGTTTGAACGAAAAATCCTTAGACACATATATAAGGAGGTGAAAGAAAATGACATATGACGCAGAAGATATAATTTTGAACTATACACAGCATACAATGAACCTGAGGTCATAACATTCATAAAGATCGGACGTCTGTGCTGGATGGGTCATGTTGAACGGATGTTGGAGATTAAAACACCAAAACATATAATGAGGCAAACACCAGTAGCGAGAAGGCCAAAGGGAAGACCCAAACTTAGATACATGGAGCAAGTGGAACAAGATCTGAAAACACTTGATTACCAACTGGAAAAACAAAGCAAGGAACAGAACATAATGGCAGAAAATTCCAGAACAAGCCAGGACACAGAAAGGGTTGTCGAGCTACTGATGATGCTGATGATAATCTTAAATCCATTCTACCACCAGAAAGCTTGCCCTACCTCGTTGGCTAGCGTCGTACGAAAAAGCACGAATGGACAAAGATAAAGTTTAATAAGGGTAACAATATTATTCCAAGATAAAATTCTTAGTATTAAAAAAGAACAAAATAAACTTAGTACACCTTCTCAAAACTGCTGTTTGAAAAAGGCTGTTTTTTTTTGCAGAAGTGGGTTTTGGTGTAGGCCAGGCCAAATCCGTTCTGTCTGTGATTCTGTTAATGGCGTAGCAGAGAACATTAACATTATGTCATTGACATTATATTATTATTATCTTACTCACGGTATTAGATAATTAGGCATTAGGCATCACGAAGGGAGTAATCCAATGTAGTGTGTCCAAACTGTTATTTTTTTTAAATCTTCAAAAGGGTGTAAGTCAAATCAATAAATGTGATATAACATTAAAATATATATATATATATATATATATATATATATATATTATATATATATATATATATTATATATATTTATATATATATATATATATATATATATATATATATATATATATATTTATATATATATATATATATATATATATATTTATATATATATATATTATATTTATATATATATATATATATATATATATATATATATATATATATATCTTCAGGTATTCTACAGTATTCACTAACTTCCCCCGCTCAACCGTTTCCTATTTGTTGTCCCTCTGTTTTCCTATTTTCCATCGCTTAGGCCTCTCTTACTCATGGCATCGTCTACTTCGTTCCTCTAGAATCTTCGGGGTTGTCCTCTTTTCCTCCTTCCAATGGGGCTCCATTCGGATATTCCTTTTATCCATCTGCACTCTCTAGTTCTTTTTATATGTCCATACCACTTTAGTCTTTTTTGTTCTATATGTATGTTTGTTTCTATTGATGTTACTCTGCAGCATCTCACAGACATTCCATTTCTGTTGCTACTATCTTACTGCTGTTTTTTTTTTGTTATAATCCAATTTTTAGCCCCATATGTCATAATATTACGCACTAATGTTTTATAAATCTCTGTTTTATATCACCATACTGAGTTAAGTTGTCGGATTGCTGTTCTTATTTGTCCAAATCTTTCGTAATTTCTTCATCTGTTTTTGGCGTTTTCGTGATTATAAACCCCAAGTATTTGAATTTATCCTTTCCTTTGATTGTTACATTGTCATCAATCTGTAGATCTTATATGTCTTCTTCACTTGTCGATAGATACTCTGTTTTCGCGAGGTTAATATCTAGGCCAGCCTTGGTATGTTCTTTTTGTAGTTTCTACAAATTTTCTACAAATGCTTTAAAAAAGTTTCTGTAATGTTGGTAGTTCCTGAAATACAGCGCGAAAGCTCTTCGCTCCTCTAATTTCAAGTGGGCAAGTATTCAAGAATCCGATTAACTTCGGATCTCTGTAAAATCCAGAGAAGTTTTTGAAATATAATAATTTTGTAGTAAAAATTACTTTATAAAAAAACCCTATATAATATTGTTTTGATATCATTTATTTGTAAAATGAACAGAAAAAAGTTATAAGCCCAAAAAAAATTTGTTCAAAAATTTTTAGGTAGTTTTCTTTATAACATTTTTATTTTCAACTTTACGATAAAAAATAATAAACATAAAGTTTTGGCAACCGGGAGATACGGGTAGATACCTCACAAACTAGAACTTAAACTATACATACATATAAAAAAAAATAGACAGCGTGTTCTCAAAAATATATTCTCAATTTAACTGTTCAATGGACTATTATATTATTTATATGAAGACCTACATCCAGAGATCAAGAAATTACAAAAAAAAAACAGCAACACGTACTTTATAGGAGTATTCTATGTTTTAATTATATCTGTATGTGTATGGTTTCATTCGTCTAATCATATTTGACTTGGATTCTTAGGCCACAAAAAATAATATTTATTAATATTTTAAATTAAAGTCCGTCTGTCAGATATTTGACGTCTAAAAATCATATGAAGAAGATGAGTTTTTTGTGAATATCAATTTTTGAACCCCTAAACAGATGAAAAAAAGTTTGCCACTTCTGTCCCCCTTCTCGTAAGGGGGGGGGCAAAATGTGCTTAGCAAAAAATGTAGCTGACATAATTTTAAACGAAAATGTTTATTACTATTTTTTGTATAAAATTAACAGTTCCCTCAGAAACAACGATTGAAGCGACCGTGATTTTAAATGTCAGGTACATTCGCGAAATCGACTTTTTATTTAAATAAAATTTGTATCGACATAATGGTAAAAATATCTTTTAAGCAGAATATCCTATCGACCAAATTTAAAATGCATTTTAAAGGTGAAAAGCACAGCTTTCGTATGCAATTTTTATATTGTACCGCAAATAAAGTAAGTTTCTATAAAGCTGTTAAATAAATAAACAATATGCGATTTTTACTATTCCATTGACCCGGCGCTATAGAATTCCCATCGTTAGACTCTAATCTTTAAAACCTATAATAAGAAATTTCGATTTTTAGTTTTGGCAACAAATAAAAATTAGAACTGTCTAAACAATGCTTATTTTAAACTTTCATATTAAAATTGATCTCAGAACACGGGAAGTGTTTCCATGAAGACGGCATTTTGTAGCTGAAGTTATGTAGTTATGAAAATTTGTAGTTTAGAATTTCTTAAAGTTTTTTAGACTTTTAGTTTAGAAAGTTAAAACTTGGCATTTCTTAAGCATTTTTCAAATGCCTCATATTTGGTGCCAAAATTTAAAATCTAAATTGGTTGCTATAGGTTTTGAAGATTATGTTCTATCGATAGAAATTATATAGTAAATAAATAATGAAAGTGATCAATTTCATTGATCTAAACGTTCATTTCTTTATACAGCTTTATAGAAACTGACTTGATTTGCAACCAAATTCAAAAATTGTTTAAGAAAGCTGCACTTTTTTACCTTTAAAATGTATTTTGATTTTTGTCGATAAGACACTCTAATAAAAAATAATGAATTTTTACCGTCAAGTTGATACACATTTTAATAAAGGAGAAAAGCTTCTTCTATTGAGCAAAGATTTTTAGTAAATTAATGTTTTCCGACCCCCCACCACCTCTACGAGGGGGAGTTTTAGGGGGAACCAGGGGGTAAAAGTGGAAAGCTTATTAAGTAAGTTGTCATTCCATAGTTTTTGTGGTCATCCCACTAATCGACTTTCTATTGGGGAACCGTATTTTGCTGTCTTTACTAATTTATTTGTTATCATTCGACTTATGTAGTCGTTCCATTCTAATCTTCTATTTCTTTTCTAGTCCTTGATATTCTCCACATTGTATCTCCGTCGTATATCTGTACTTCTAACTTTGTAAAAAAATTAATGGGAAAAACCCCGTAATTGGCTGTATACCATCGTTAAAAAAAACACAGAAGTTAAAACACTTCACAACTGTATATTTTGGTATAATAAAATACAAGTATTTAAAAACTTTTAAAAAAAGTGTCGTCAACATTTAAAATTATGGCAGAACGTTTTCAATCTATACAGATCATCTTCAGTGCCTTTGGTATTTGGTGCTAACAATAAGGTGTCTACAAGACTTTATATAAGACTTTATATAAGTCTTATAGACACCTTATTGTTAGCACCAAATACCAAAGGCACTGAAGATGATCTGTATAGATTGAAAACGTTCTGCCATAATTTTAAATGTTGACGACACTTTTTTAAAAAGTTTTTAAGTACTTGTATGTTTTTATACCAAAATACACAATTGTGAAGTGTTTTAACTTCTGTGTTTTTTTCTAACTTTGTCTTACCAACGATTTTTCTAACGGTTTT